ATTTTATGTGTTATATCAATTTTGATCCCGAAACTATTAGCAAATGGAAATATTGGGGGTACAATGTCTCCGTACGTTCATGAGATGGGCGTGTCAGGCACCGCACTCGTGGTAGGTAAATGTTCATGATTACTGTCTTGTGGATCATTGTCTATCACTGTATTATTGTCACTATCAACTTCATCCAATTCAGGAATCATTATTTCATCGCCACTATCATCATCAGAACAAATCTCGTTCACAACATTTTCCAGCTGGTCTGTAGGAACACGAAGACACTTGCTGCAAAAAGCCATGGTGAAACTGAATGAATGTGAAATATTTTCTGACCTTAACCTTCTCAGAGGGTTCTGACAGTAATATAGACCCCCACAAAGTTTACAAGGGTTCTTTACAAACATGCACAAAAACTATCATATATATGTCTTTGGTTGATGAGTGCCAAGAGAGCAAAGAAGGGAAGAGATTGTCAAAGCGTTAAAACACGCCAACGCCAGGGAATGGCTGGCATCATCCGGGCGTTAAAACACGCCCGCACCAGTCAAAGAGTTAAGTAACGTGCTTCCAGAAAATAAAATAACGGTAATAATCATAATAGGAACTGGATTAGATCAGTTGGTATAGGGACTGGGCTATGGGCTGGATGGCTGTGGAGTTAGGGTTTAGTTCCTGGCCTGTGTGAGAGATTTTTTTTTTTTTCTTTTCTGGAATGTCGAGACTGGCTCTGAGGCCTACCCATCATCCTATGCAGTGGTTATCTGGTGGTAAAGCAACTGGGGCATGAAGCTGACCACTCACTTCCATCTAAAGCCAAGGTTAAGAGTAGTGGGGCTATACTTCCACTCCACCGTATGTCTTCATGGTGTGGTCCTTAATTAGTTAAATCCCAGGGATAGCTTTGCCTTTCAATAATCACGATAGAGAGTAGGATAAGAGATTTGTGCAATAAAGTGAGTGCTCTTTTTTATTAACGAGCCTGAAATTTAAAGAAAAACTGATTAGGATTTCACTGTACAGTGCAGCAGGTTGTCTTACACATTCTGTCCTTAAGATGGAGAGGAATTAAACCTTTAATTTCATTGATATTTTTGACCATAACAGAGTAAAGTTGCTGACACACAGAGGTTCGGGAGAGCAAGTCGCAATGAAAGAGATCGACTTGGAGAAACATTCAGGTGTGAAAAGCAGCGTACAAAAAGAGGTGTTCATCCACAGAATGGTGAACCATCCAAACATCGTCCAGTTTTACGGACATCGCCACAAAGGAAACCTCGAGTACATCTTCCTTGAGTTTCTGTCAGGAGGAGACCTCTTTGACCGCATAACTGGTGAGTATTGTTCACAATCAGCAATTAAAAGAATCGTTCATAATGGAGCTGGTCAAACTGACATACATCAGTAACCTGGATGTAACATTTTTTCACATGATCTGTTACACACAAGAATGATTGAATGTTTGGAATCTGTAATTTCTTATGTTTAGGATGCTAAAGTAAACACTATATTGACTTTTCATGGATCTGCAGTTACCTGCATATCTTCCTTCTTTGGTTGGTTTCTTCTGCTGTCTTTGTGAGGGAGGAAATGGGGAAAATGATTTCCTGTGTACAGTGTATTCTCATTTAGCTGTGCATGGGTTGTCTGGTTTGTGTCTTATCCATGCACGTGCTACGTGTATTGGCAGACAACTTCGTAGAGCACGTGTTGCTCATCCGTTCTGTATGTGTGAAACAGCTAGAGAACAGGTGGACGGATTTACATTAATTTCAGTATTCGAGAGTTTTGCAGAAATATCANATAGATGGCACGCATGTTTAGTTTTATTGCTTTTTTGTAGCCATGGGATTTCTGACATCTGTGGAGGCATTCCAGAACTAACATTTCTTTGTCGGAAGTAAAGGATGTTGTGTACATCATATGCAACATACCTCATTAGCAAGATTTGACAGACATGATTGATTTAAGAAACAATTTTGGGTCAAAAGTTTTGAATGCTGTGACTTGCAGGCCTCAAGGTGTTCAAGGAATGCTGGTGTAATCTTAATTTCTCCTCCCATCCCCCCCATTTGTAATTCTTAGTAATGGTAGTTAGTCTGCTTTTCTTGTAGCACGTAGTGAGTGTGTAAGATAGCACTTTGCTATTTACAAAAAGTAACCAAACTTTCATTTGTATTTT